TATTTGCCAAATAAAGGAAATGGTCAAATAAATTATAACTTATATTCTGGAATATTTCTGAGTGTTTAAAGTGATGTTATGAAAATAGTATAAAATCAAAATTTTCTTATTACATAATAGTTAGAAAAGTAAAAACCACATTTTGAAGACAATAACAATTTTTAAAAGTCTTTATCATAGAGAATAAAATGGTAGTAAAACTGCCTGAATTAACAGTGTGTATTTTCATTTTCTTTAGTTATGAGTCCATAATAATGGGGTAATTACAATTTTTGTTATTTTTAAACATAATTTAAAAAATATGTTTTAAATGTCATATTGATACTCATTTTTTTTTTAACAAACAAATCCAGAATAAAATCCTGGATTATGAAAATAGGTAAGCATTTTGCCATCTCATCATTTTCAAAGCATTTATGCAAATTAGCAAATCAGAATTTAAAGGACACAAGTGACATTAAATAAATCAAGAAGCTGTTTATCTTCTCAAGTACAGATTTTTTGGTGGGAGGGAGAGGTGTATGGTGTTTGGAAGCATGACCTCTTTGGTGTTTCCAGGAACTGTTTGTTCTTTCTTAATGAGTGACCTAACAGATCACTTAGCAAGAAGAGAGCATCTCTAAGCATTCTCTCTGCTTAGTGTGACCCAGGCCACCAGGCACCAGAGGACCCGCTGGCCTCGCCTGTCCTTGGGACCCTCTTCCCTGACCTCTTGGCTCTAGTCACATGGGCCTGATGATCGCATTCCAAGCAGCTGCTGTTTCCTCTGCCAGGACTGCCCCATCTCCGGGTCTTCATGTGGCTGGCTCTTTCATGCAGCTCAGGTTCATCTGAAAGGTCACTTCCTCTGAGCAGCCTTCCTGGACTACTTCATTTAAAAATACTCCCTCCCCAGACCACTTCCCCAGTCAGTAACTCTCTGTCATCCTGATTAACTGCTTTCCAATCTCACCGATCACTTTGTGAAATAATCTTGTGCACTGATTGGCTGACTTGTTTAGCTTCTCGCAGCACCTTCCCACCAGCTCCCTCGTCCTCATGGAAGCAGCATAAGAACAGCGGCTTCGTTTGTTTGATTCCCTCATGCTTCTCCAGCACACACCGCACTGGAAGCATTCAATACATGAACTTTTGCTGCCTATTTTACTGCTTTTGTTCGTGACTTTATGAGGCTGATGAGGTTGTTATATAACGTTTCTATAAATTATAAGGTAGGATGTTATTAAATACTTCTTTCTCGTCACTGTGATCCTCATTAGAGGTTCGGCCAGATCATTCCAGACTCCTACAGAGTGATGAGTGTCCCTGCCCAGAGCTGAGGGCCAGGGCCATTGCAGGCAGAAGGTGCTGTGTGCCAGGTGAGGAGATGTGGACAAGTTTCCCTGCTCTTTGGTCTAAGATCTTTCTGAGAGTATGTCATAAGGGAGACAGAGAAGGGCTGATTTATTTTGGAGAGGAAGAAGTAAGGAATCACTAAATGTCCCCAATATTCCCAGGCCATGCCATTGTTTCTAAAGATGCCCAGCTGACTCCTGACCAGCTAGAACAGCAAGAATGGCTCCACCCAACAGTGTGTAGCCCAGGGATCCGCAGCTCCTGGGCTGCACGCAGGAACCAGTCTGTGGCCTGTTAGGAACCCGGCCCCACAGCAGGAGGTGAGTGGCGGGCCAGCATTACCGCCTGAGCTCTGCCTCCTATCAGATCAGCACAGGCATTAGATTCGCATAGGAGCAGGAACCCTATTGTGAAATGTGCATGTGAGGGATCCAGGTTGCACACTCCTTTTCAGAATCTTAAGCCTGATGATCTGAGGTGGAACAGTTTCATCCCCAAACCATCATCCCCCAGCCTCCTGCTTCCCATGTCCATGTAAAACTGTCTTCCATGAAACTGGTCCCTGGCTGGTCTAGCCTTATTCCTTCATAGACTAGTCAGGGGTGGCTAATTTTTTTCTGCAAAGGACAATAATTAATATTCTTTGCTTCTAGGCTAACCTCTGCCATTGTGGCACAAAAGCAATCTTAGACAATCTGTAAACTAAGGGACAGGGCCAACTGTAGTTTCCCTGAACCGTGGATTAGAAGATTCCCAACACCTCAGATCCATTCTGGCCTCAGCATGGCTCTCCTTCCGGAGGTCACAAAACCTCTTTAGTTTCAGAATCACAGTGGCATGAGGCAGGGTAGGGAAAATTACATCTGGGAACAAGGCACCTAAAACTAGGTGGCACGGACAAAATACAATTGAATAAAGATCCCAGTATCCTGAGTTACTTTGAAATTAGTTCATCTAAAAGTGAGCTAAAGTCAAAGGAAGTTCAATTCAATATGGCTGTGCTGGGCATCAGCTGTGCTGTTCATCTGTGGAGCTGATATTTAAGTGTTTAATGACTGGTACGGCTGGGGAACTGACCAGTGAATAAGGATGAGTAGCAGAAACAATCGGTAGGGACATGCCATTGCACATGGGTGGAAATCAGCTCTATGATGCAGACAGCCAAGCGGTACACAGGTGCAGCCTGGCAGGCAAGAAAGCAGCCCAGAGGCAGAGCTAGTGATCACAGGTATGCTATGATGTTGGCAGACTCTTGAATAGGCCTGTGTACAAAAACATTTCCTCTACATATCTTTCACTAATGTTGGAAATTCCATCCTTAGACATCCATTTCTTAAGGTTAAGGATGCCACCCTTCTTTTAAAAACAAAAAACGCTTGGAAGCATATATATAATATATATATTGAATCATTTTGAATCAAGTAGTCTTTGCAAAATTTCTAATATGAATCATTTCTATCAGACCCTTTCCAGCAGTCATATAGGAGAGATGTTAAAAGAGGAAAATACACAAAGTTTAAGCACATAAACTTTGTACTTTGTACTTACTACATAAACTTTGTTATGTACTTTGTACAGAAACTTTTACTTCGTTGGGGAATATGCTTTAGGGAGAAAAGGCCCTCAAATGAGAAGTGGGTTGGCACCCAGGAAGAACTTAGTCCACTTTAAATTTTGATCAGGGTTACCTTGAATATAAGAGCCTTTTAAAAAGTGTAAACACAGGAAATCTCTTCGTTGTGACTGCTAAAGCTTAGCACTAAATTCACAACCTGCCTCTAGCGTGCGGATTATTCCTCGGTTTTTATTTTTCTGCTTCTGTTTTTCATCCTACATCATTCCTGAGAAGTACTTGTTTGGTCCTTTTATATTGTATGGTTTTCACAAGCCACCTGGAATTCTTTATGAAGCAAGATAACTAGGTAGATATATATTTATGTATTTATTCAATCATGTAACATGGTACACCTAATATGCACCAGACACCAATCTAGATGGACAGAAGATAGCATCGATCATACTTCAATGGACTCACATAAAATGATTTTAAAAGAACAATAGAATTTTTTTCTTATTTTCTCACTATGCCCTTTTAGGTTTTCTAGGGCAAAGGAGCAAGAAGGAATTGGGCAAAAGTTCACAAACCTGTGCGAGGCGGTAGTTGTTCCTCCAGGTCCTGGGGGAGGCTGCAACTAGGGAGGGGGCTGCAGTGGAAAACTTCAAAGCCATGATGAGGAGGACAGCAAGGCCAGATGCAGGGAGCACCTTCATCCCCTCACAGTAGCTTGGTAATTATATCAGCCTGGGGGATGGCAGACAGTGCACGTTTGCACTTCGACCTTGAGCTCCTTTTATAGAGTCAAACAGGTCTGGACCCTCTGAGCAAGGATGATTCATGTCTCAAACAGTAATTATACAGCTCATTTCTCTCCCTGATGATGGGGTAACACAACTGTACACAGAAATCAGGGAAAGCTTCATTTTTTTTTTTTTTTTTGTTATTTGCCAAGTGGCAAAAGGAGAAGAACAGTCACTTTTAATGAAGTTTGTCAGCTAGTTACACAAATTGAAGTAAACTTGATTGATTTGAACCCAACTCAGCTGAAACATTTGATTAGTCTGAATTTGGGGACCTTTTGCCATTCTGATTACAGAAAGATAGATGATTACAGTATAATTGAATTTGTCCTCCAAGTAATCCCAAACTCCCCATGCATTCAACCCAATCGCCTCTATCTTCTGCATTCACTTCAAAATTTTTCAGTAGCAACTGCTGTTCATAATGACGGCTCTGAAACACATAAGATCCTGAATCATCAAGGCAAGATTACATTATACTGTGCTGACGTAGGGTGGAAAGCGAACCGATAACTGTTAGAAAGCCTTTGAATAAATTAAGACAAGAGTTATGTCTTAGTTAACCAAAACATTAACCAGAACTCCCCAATCTATGCGCACTCTGGTTAATTGGAGTCATATTGTTTTTTTCTGGTCTGATTAAGATGGATTTTGATCCAGAGATGATATGGTGAAATGGTATCATATGGTGGGAAAAGCACGTAGAGTCAGACAAAGCAAAATTAAATTTTTAAAAAGATATTTCCTAGCTGTGTGATGTGGGGCATGTCATTTAATCTCTGTGAACATTAGTTTTTTTTAAATCTACAAAAGACTGACAATACTACCACTATGTATAAACTTTTCAATGTTATGGAGTAACACACATAGCATGACATCTGCTAGCACCACTTGGCATCTCTTAGATGTGGATTCAAATCCTAATTTTGATTTTAGACTAGATTCAAAGTTATTCTTATAGTGAATATAGTGAATTCCTATAGTCTTTCTCACTCTGTTGCATTTTGATATACTTTCTTGCATGGAAGAGAAAGTGATGGAGTTATAGCCAATGTGTAGTATCTAGTGTACAACCCCAGGTACTCAACAAGAGTTTGTCACACATTGATATGGTTTGGCTCTGTGTCCCTAACCAAATCTCATCTCGAAATGTAGTCCACGTGTGAGGAGGGAGGTGATTGGATAATGAGGGTGGTTCCTCCATGCTGTTCTCATGATAATAAGTGAGTTCTCAAAACATATGATGGTTTTATAGGTGAAAGTTCCTTCTTTGCTCTTCTGTCTCCTGCTGCCTTGTCGAGAAGGTGCCTGCTTCCCCTTTGCCTTCCACCACAATTGTAAGCTTCCTGAGGCATCCCCAGCCATGTAGAACTGTGAGTCAACTAAGCCTCTTTCCTTGATAAATTACCCAGTCTCAGGTATTTCTTTATAGCAGTGTGAGAATGAACTAACACACACATGCAAACAGAATTTCTGGCATGTACTGTGAGATACACAAAACGTGTGTTTCAGAAGAAGAAAAAAGAAAACCACAGATTAGATTAATTCAACTAACTAAATTGTAAGCTCTTTGAAGATTGTATTCTAAAAAATGTCACTTAATCAAGTTTGTTAAGAAAAGAATGAATCAATGTACAAACATATACTAATCGTCACTTTTTGGTTTCAGGAAAGGAATAGGATATTGCAATACTTTTTCAAAATTTGCGTTTATTTGGTCTCCTGTCTTCTAGAGCCCTATCTTCAGCAGCTGCCAAAATTGAAGAACAAAGAGAATCCTTGAAACTTCCCTTCAACTAGTCATCCTCTTCCCTTTTTTTCTCCTTTAAACACTGTTCCAATTCATTATGAGGGCCCCAATGCAAAAAAGACATGGAAGTGAACATTGGAGTGAAAGTAATGATGGTAAGAAATTCTGGGGCCAATAGAGAGAAAATATTCTCACCTCTAGGACTCTATAGAGTAATCTAAGTTCTGTTTTTGGAAGCACATGGAAGTTTAATAACTGCCTGTAGGGTGTGATCTAGATACTTCTAGAAGGTTCCAGTATCCACTTTTCTAACACATAAATGCAATCAATCCCAATATTCTTAAGTGCAACATTTTAATTATCAAGTGCAAAACTTTTGAAGAGGAATAGCAATTTATGTTCTTATAAGTCATTTATATATTAGAGTGACTAAATTTCACCTCTGAGTCAGCCCTAGGCAACATCTTTGACCTTTCCAGAGAGAGGATAATAAAGTAATTGTCTGGTAGTTCCTCACTATGATTTTCCTTTCCTGATTTTTCTTTCTTCACAGGGGAGCAAAGGTCTGCTTTTTTTCTATCATTCTTGTATCAACTCTAAATTAAAACCCAAATCACCGAAGTCTAAAAAATCATATCAAAGCAAGTCAATGACTAAAAGAAAATGAAATGAGAGATCCTATCAGAGAAATATGAAAGGGGAAATACCACTGATTAAATAACAGTTAGGGGAAAAATAAATCATTACACCATTAAATGTATATGTTGACATACTATATGTTGTTATGTGCTTATTGTCTTTCACCAGTAGAATGTAAGCCCCATAAGGGTAAGAACTCTATATAGTCTGTTCACAGCAGCATCTCTAGTGCATAGAACAGTACCTAGCATAAAATAAACAGCTGTTGAACAAACGAATGTATAAATGAGTGATTAATTGAATGATTAAAGATAGAAAGAAGAAAAACAAGATTGTCCTTAGAGGGATAAATTTTAAATCAACCCATATAATGGATCAAATGAAGGTGTATAGCATCACTCTAAGAAACTAGAACCTTTATTAAACTCACATTATATGCCAGACATGTAGCCAAGTACCTTATGTACATTTTTCACACAACTTTGTGATGCGCTATTTTTCAAGTGAAGAAATGGGCTCATGGAGGATAAATGATTTGTTAATTTCACATAGATATTAAGGTGGTGGCTCCAAGATTTTCACCCAGTTCTGTTAGACATCGAAGCCTGTGTTCTTTATAGGAAGCGTACGTTGGTGCCTTTGTGGAGCAGTGCCTTGGGAACATGGTATTTCAAGTTGGCTGTCAGGGAGATCCCTAGGCTTATTCTAGCTCCCCGGCAGCTCCCTGGCACTCCCATGTGTCTGGACTGAGCAGAAGTTGGGCCGGCTAGACTGTGCAAGCTCCCTGGTGATGATGTTTCTTATTGCAAATGACTCCTATGTTACTCTGGTTTCTGTTTTTCAATCTTTAGTGAATTTAACTTTCATAAATGATTAAATTTCTAGATTTCCAAAGAACTCAGTTACAACCTGGTAAATTTTTCAGAATAAGGGATGCTTCTCATTAAAGCAGGATTCTGAGTGATCAGTCACCAGCTACATTTTATTCTATATCCAACCTTACCATGGCCATCCTTTCAAATGACTCCAGTAAATATATGCCACTTTGAATGGCTGACTCTAAAAAATGTTTATTTATGAATGGCTGACTCTAAAAAATGTTTATTTACATAACTTGTATATCACATCATATTCTATTTTGTAATGGTATTTTTTTAAGTTTAGAAATTTATTATTAGAATACAGAATAACATGAACCATATTCTGAATTTCTAGAGCACACATATTCTAGAATCAGATGGAATAAAAATAGAGGAAAGAAAAAAGTGTATTTAAAACCAAAGACTACCCCCAGAATCTCATACAAAAAATGAGTGAATGATCTTACCTCATTTGTGAGAATGAGAAGCTCAGAGAGGACCTTGGCAAGCTTATATCCAGAAGCCAACTGGTTTATTTTCACCAAGAACAGAAAAAGAAAGAGAAAAGGGAAGAGAAGGGAAGAAAAGAAAAAAAAACACAACATTTACTTTGTACTGTAGGTAATTTTGGTTAGAGAGGAAGAAGCAAACAGCCTTCTGATTCGGCAATCATTAGCATTAAAATGAGCTATTAAAGAAGGTTGTGAGGTTGCCTTCAGCAGTCTTTGAGTACAGGGTAGAGCATCATGCTTTTAGAAAAGATTGGGTTCAGTGGGGTTCTGCCTGTCTGCTCAGGCTTGGGGTATGTGCACAGAACTTAGACTAGATTGCTCTGCCAAATTTTATTCATATATATATACACACACAAATATATATAATTTATAAATACTTATTGATATAATTTATATATACACAATAAGTAAAATATCTTCATATTTTCAATAAATATTTATTAAGTATCAATTATTTGTTAGGCACCAGGAATACAGAGATATGAGACACTGTTTTAACACTCTGGGAGCTCAAAACTTACTGCTGCAATAAAATTGAACTTGGAGTAAAATCTTAGATAAAGATCGACTGAATCTTAGTGACAAAAAACATGTCTTTACATTACAAATTGGTAGAATCCTTCTAAAGAGCTATAAATGATTTAGCAATGTATAAAATATTAAAAGGACAATTTTAACCAAAACGGCAAATAAAAATTACACAACATTTGATTCTATATCTGCTAAAGAGAAGTATATAGGAAAAAAAAAAAAAAAAAAGGGAAACCTGGGGTAGAGAAAACAGTAGTGTGAGGGTGTTAGGGCCTTACACCTATAATTCTTATACAATTTCCTTTAATGCTACCATGCATTTTTTCAAAACAGTAAGTGAAAGTGTGAAAGACTGTGTCAATGTACCCTTTATATTTGTATTTGAGTAAACAGAAGACATAGATAACGAACCCACTGGCATATTTAACTCATTCATTTGTTCGGTTGTGAGTCTTCTTTCTATTTACTCAGTCTAGAACTCTTGTATTTATTCTATATGCTGGCACTAGGCTTAGTCCTGGAGGTACAAAAGGCAAATAAAACCTGTCCTTAACCAGAGTCTTAGAATCTCCAGGGAGAGGCTCAGATATAAACTCAAAATATCTTACAGTGTAATTAGTAACAAAAGAAAGGTACTTAAAGGTCCAAATGAGGGCAGAAGAGGGAAAGCCATCTCTGCCTGAGCAGTTGAGAATGAGAGTAAAATGGAAGAAAGTAGGGGCCAGGGTGGACTTTCCATGGGGATGAAGCTTTAGCTGAGGGCTGATTGCCAATGGAGTTAGAACTCACCTGCAAGACGGGTGAGGTGAGAAGGAAGGAGAGTGACAGGTAGTGGGGAGGGGGAAATTCCAAGCAGAGGAGGCAATGAGGAGATGTTAAAGAAGAGGTTAAAGAAAAGCATCTGTTCTTAAGAAACTGAAGATATTTCTACGTACAAGGCAGTTTGGGGGCAGCCAACAGGAGGTGGGCGGAAAAGAAAGGCAGAGACCGGTCTGTTGGAGGACGCCTCTCACCCACAGTTCCAGGTACTGACACAGAAAAACAGAGGCCAGGAGTCATTTGCTGGGTGAACCTTGGTCAAAGGGAAAGCCAGACAGCAATTTCCAGCCCAAGCTGCAGATCCAAAGGGCAGGACTGACATGAGGCTCCAAGGTGCAGAGCTGGAATATGGTTGGCAAAACAGAACAGGCAGTAGATGGGCAGAATGGCATGGAACAAATCCGGAGCAGCCACAGTGCAGCAAAGGCTTGGAGGACTTGTGGGGTTTTATTTAAAGGGCCTGGAGAGGAGTGTGCTAGGTAACGTCACAGGCGTCTTGTGTGCCAGGCTAAGGCATCTAGACATTAATGGTTTGTGATGGGAAACCACTGGAGAGTTTCTTCCCCAGCAATGACATGATGAGGTTTGCATTTACAGAAAGATTGCTCTGAAAAGAGCATGCGGGATGGATCGGAGGAGAGTGAGGATGGAGGCTGCCGGGGGCACCAAGGGGAGGGTAATAGGAGGTCCAGTCAGAGGGCGTACTGTTACGTTTATCTTAGATCATGAACTGTGAGAGACGAGCTGTCAGTATAAATAACATTTTGTTTATTCTTGTAAAATCTCTGGACTGTATTGCAATGATCACCAATGTGAGCTTTTGAGATTGGATAGTAAATGTGTTTACAGCTGCCTGTGTAGAGGGCGGAATGTCAAAAGTCCCATTAGAGCACATTCCACTTGCCCATTTTAGTGAGTCAATTTGCTAAATTATAGACTTATTTCAGCATACAAATCAGCAATTCTGGAAACTGATAGTTTGCCTGGCAGCTTCTTTTGAACATCTCCATTTTTTCCTAGAGTGTTGTCTACAGGTAAAATCAATTTAACTATTTCGAAAGATCTACCATATCCCCAGTGCTATCATCTGAATGTTTGTGTCCCCCTCCAAATTTATATGTTGAAATTCTCGCTACCAAGGTGACAGCACTAGTAAGTGGGGCCTTTGGGGTGTGATTAGGCTATGAGGTTGCAGCCCTCATGATTGGAGTAAGTGTCCTTATTAAAGAGGCTCCAGGGAGCTGCCTTGCCCCCTCCAGCAAGCAAGGACACAGCAGAAAGGCACCATCTATGTATCAGGGAAAGCTCCCTTGATCTTGGGTGTTGCAGGCTCCAGAACTGTGAGAAATTAATTTTTGTTATATATAGGCCACCTACTTTATGGTATTTTGTTATAGTGACCCAAATAAACTAAGGCAAACCTGCAGCATATTGTGGTGCCAGGTAGTAGAATGATGAAGGAATGTTTAAAGGACACTATCCAGTTTTTTGGAGCCCCTTCTGGCCTAATCTAAGATACTTTGAGCATCAAAATCCGTAATGATAGTAATGGGTGTGGTTCATTGAATGAAATAACTCATGAGTCTGTACTGATATAAATAAGCAATAATGGGGAGAAGAGAAAGCGCTTCCTTATGGTAAAAAGGTAACTAACAAATACATGTAGAAAGAGTGAAGACTTTAGAAAATATGCATTTGGTCAGCAGGGAAGTGCAAACCAAAACCACAGTGAGATATCATCTTACCCCAGTAAAAATGGCTGTTATCAGAAAGACAGAAAATAACAGATGCTTGTGAGGATGCAGAGAAATAGACAAGCTAATACACTGTTGGTGGGAATGTAATTTGGTACAGCCACTATGGAAAACAATATGAATGTTTCTCAAAAAACTAAAAATAGATCTGCCATATGACCCAGCAATCCCACTGCTGGGTAAATATCCAAAAGAAAGGAAACTCATATGTTAAAGGGGTATCTTCATGTCCATGTGTATTGTGACTATTCACAATAGCTAAGATATGGAATCAACCAACATGTCCATCAATGGTTGAATGGATAAAGAAATGTGGCATATATACACTATGGAATACTATTCGAGTGTAGAAAAGAATGAAATCCTGTCCTTTGCCACAACGTGGATGGAACTGGAGGTCATTACCTTAAGTGAAATGAACCAGGCACAGAAAGACAAATACTACCTGTTCTCACTCCATAAGTCGGAGCCAAAAAAAGTTAATCTCACAGAGGCAGAGATATATGCTCTGGAGGACATTATGCTAAGTGATATAAAGCAGTCACAGAACAAATACTGCATGATTCCACTTATTAATACATGAAATACTTAAAATAGTTAAACTCGGCCAGGCATGGTGGCTCACACCTGTAATCCCAGCACTGTGGGAGGCCGAGGCGGGAGGATCACTTGGGGCCAGGAGTTGGAGACTGACCTCGCCAACATGATGAAACCCTGTCTCTACTAAAAATGCAAAAAAATTAGCCGGGCGTGGTGGCGCGCGCCTCTAGTTCCTACTACTTGGGGAGCTGAGGCAG